GGGAGGTTAAGATTTATATGAAGATTGTAAAAGAACCAAATGAGTATTTATAGAGAACTTTGTGGTGGCTACTGATCAATTTCTTTACAATATAACATCGATCAAGAGATATAGATTCGTACGCTTTTGACCAAAACGTGGTGATATTTTTTTAAAAATTTCAATATTGTTAAGAGTTTCACCTACTTTAGATACACGTCAGAGATATGTATGGATATATTTCAAATGTGTGAAAACTATAGTGGCTCTAATTTGATATGTATAATACAAAAATATTACGTGTACAATTTATAATCGAGCAACTCGTTCGTGACCTGGATTACAATATGTAGACCGTAGACTCTCATGAATTTATCGCGTATATTCCTGAAATTTGTGGTCATATTATATCTAACAGTTGTACTATTTTTAATCAAAACGTAAGATAATTTCCATAATTAAAAACCTTCCACACAATAAAATACTTCTATTACATTATTTACATATATCGTTTGATCACAAATCGTATAATAATTTTCCATCACAAAGTCTTTAAACTAAAATGAACCTAACGTATACGTTAAGGTAAACATATACATGCCATATTTGTATCATTTTGTGTTTTGTTTTTCTTTTTCCATGTTTTTCTAAAGAGTATTTTGGGAGAAAAAATTCATTTACTTTGTACACGTCTTGTGGACATATTTGAATAGTTAAAGTGGACTTATTCGTCATAGTTTTATCCAAAACCGCAATCACATTTGCATTGACACATTAAATAAAGGATGAATAAGGTGTATAACATCTTTGAAACAAAAAATTGAATAAATAACATTTTAATATGGTCAATTAAGTTTGTAACAAATGTTGACCAGAATATTAGAGTAGAAATGACAAAGAAGTCATCCAAATCTTTAAAGAGAAAGAAATAAAAATATATGTTACATTTAATGTTCACTTTTTGACAGAAAAAACGTCTACAATTATGTACTTTTGTACAGCTTTTTTAAATCATCAATTTATGGGTTCAAAATGTCTTATTCTTCTCTATCAGCCACCAAATAGTTGGCTATATATGCAAAGTTGTCAACTATTTTGATGCGGAATTATGTGTATTTTGTTGCATTATTTGAAGTAGCTAACTATCTCATAACATATTATAACGACTTAGTTGAAGTAGTTAACTATTTTGTTGCATTATTTCGTATAATTTTAGGCATAGATCGATATGTATAATTAACTAAAAGAATAGTTAACTATTCGCGGAAGTAGTTTAGTTGTTTTTGTTGACATATGGTTGATTATTGCATATTTGTAATCATTTTGCAAAAATGGTTCAATGGTACCCGTTATCATATGGTATGAGAGTTTTATAATTTTCATTTGGAGTTTCTTTTGATAGTAGACTACTATTTGTTGGTTGATAGTTGACTACTTAAACTAAGTCGTCCACATTCAAATAATTATCTAAGTAGTTATAAATTATAAAAGCACAGTAGATAATACGTTAATAATCATTTATTGAGAATAGTCGAATACTAAAAATATAATTGTCTATCCCGGTTATAATAATCTACTGAAAAAACTATATATATGTTAGTAGTCATTTATCAATAATATTCAACAATAAATAATCTAGATTCTATATAAAATAGTTATCTACTAAAATTATCTATGCAACCTAGTCGACTATTACTTAATAGAAAAATACATAGTTGACTTGTATTACTTTTTTTTTTAATGAGATGAAGTTATGCAGTTTTGGTGACAGAGATAAAAAGTAGATTGAAAAGAATCATTCGATTAAAAAATATGTTATGAAAGAAGCTGTAAATACATAAATCCAAAAACAAATTTAAAAAGATATCAAACACAAAAAACAAAAAAAAAATTGAAATAAAACATAAAGCAAGTGAGGGAGAAAAGAGTCATTTTTCTTATGTTATTTTTTATTTTGTTAGATTGTTAATTTGGTTCACCAAAAATGTTATCTCTGCCAATTACTCTTATATATAAAATACTCCAATGTCCAGTTAACATCTCGAGACCTTCTGTATAACTGAAAGGTTTCTTCAGGGGTCGAAGCATAACCAACAAAAGAAAATCGAAAGAGATTAATGTTAATATTATGGAAAACCTATAGAGAAAAAGGATTCATTTGAAACGAAGAGGACCAGAACTCTCTTTACACAAAATGTTTTTTCTTTCTTTCCATCTTTATATAAAAAGATTACACAATGCAACCACTCCTTAGAGACTTCCCATGAAACCAATGGCACTCCTGAGTTTGTCGGACTCAGTGTCCGTTCGATGGCCTGAAGTCTCTATAGCCGTTGATTCCAGCTGACAAATTGGGGTTTGATGAACTAAGATCAAAGTAAGAGTAAGTAGCTGATGCTGCCGCTGCATCGTCCTGGTTCCTCATAGCCAGCAAAGATAAGTCCA